ATGGATGCTGGACTTCTCAATGGGTAAATGGAATTATGAAATGTACGAAGTAATCCGCTGAGATACAATACGAGATGAGGAATGTTAACGATTCACTTTTTTTGTCTTCGTAATTTTTTTTTCTCCTTTTGTATCACTAAGACACGTTTAGTGTTTTTCGAACCTCGGAAACTAATGAGTATTAATAATTGTATGTACCGTTGGATTATTGTAACGAAAACCTTTTACTAAGTATTTTTTTGATTCAAACAAGTAAGAGAGCAGATGATGATTAATTTTCGCTAAAAATGAAGAAATTCTGTTGTCGATTATGATGTTCTGAGGTCACTTTGATAATTTGCGTCGTGAATACTCCTCATGCTAGTGGACTGGGTAGGGCTCTCAGTTATACCCTACGTTAGAAGGTACGAGAAGCTGCGTGTGTGTGTGTGTGTGTGGTTTTTACGATCTTTTGTTAAGTGTTAAGCGAAATGTCGCTTCAACCAAATAGCCTTCAATATGTACATCCAGTACATGATTTTAATTTTATGAATTCTTGGGAAATTAAAAACGTAGATAACACATGGTATGTAGGTAAATGAACGAAAAATTTAATTTCATTTCAATGTGCACAATATGATTATAAAAATAAAAATAATAATTAAGTATAGCATATCTGAAACATCGATTAGGATGATTAATGTGATATTTAGTTTTACTTGTTGAATAAAACAAGTTTTATTATATACACGATATATTGTAATAAATGTATAAGTAAAATATCAGTTTTTATTTGTTTTAATTAATAAATTCTGAGTAAAATATTTGAGCGCTTGCTTGCTTGCCTATTGTATATTATATCGATATAGTATAGGGATTAATCTTTTTCATACCAATACAATCCTATAAGCATTTGACGGGATATGAGTCGTCTATTATCAAAGGTGGCAATCTGTGCATTTGGACAAAAAAATCTTATTGATATGTCAATACAGATTGATTTGAATATAATCGTCTCCTTCAAAGAATACGGTTCAAAACCTGCATTAAATAAAGGTTAATACTTAACCTGTTATTTATCTAATATGTCGTTCAGAAGAGTTTTGTGATTGCCAATGGAATACAAAGTCAATAATTCGTTTTTCTGATTTACGAATAATTGTCCAAAAGTCACATTGGCGGCTTTGATAATAGTCGACTCATATATCGCATTATAAAATCCGTGCACGCCATCCGTGTCACCGTTTCATGGGCAAGTAGTAAATAAGAAAATGAGAATGACGTTTTATATCGAGTGACTAATCCGCCATTAAAAGGCAACATGAAAACTACCGACGGACTTAGAGTCGATTATATTTACGGTCCTTTTAATTAGTCAGACAATTATGAGATTCATTTTAATTAACGAATGAGTTTATTATTGATTCATATTAACGAATGAATTTTTACTGGTGGTAGGACCTCTTGTGAGTCCGCGCGGGTGGGTACCACCACCCTGCCTATTTCGGCCGTGAAGCAGTAATGCGTTTCGGTTTGAAGGGTGGGGCAGCCGTTGTAACTATGCTTGAGACCTTAGAACTTGTATCTCAAGGTGGGTGGCGCATTTACGTTGTTGATGTCTATGGGCTCCAGTAACCACTTAACACCAGGTGGGCTGTGAGCTCGTCCACCCATCTAAGCAATAAAAAAAAAAGATGAAGTTAGTGTTAAAACACGGTTAGTATTCTGTAAATTTGTTTTTGATATAAAAAGCAAACGTGACTGGTAGTTTTTTCTTCCTATGATATGGCTATGACTGGCATATCTTACGGATCCATCAGATACCTTGCGTTAGATACCTTCAGCTCTAACACTAGGAGCAGGCTTAGGGATCCCGGTAACCGTACTCGTCGAACTCGGCAAAGAGTTCGACGTGCAACCTAACCCATGCATCAGCCCGCTGAGTTTCTCCCCTCCTGGCTGAGCCTTGCTCACCCACATGTCTTGGTGACACTGGAAAGGCTTCCGGGCTACCAGTAATACTTCAATCATAAAAAAAAGAAGTATTACTTATATCATAAATAGCGTAAATACACTGCTGATACGCTTCTAAAGTTGAGCATACGTGAGCACGCACGGATAGATACCACTATCCTGCCTAATTTAGCAACGAAGCAGTCGTGCGTACCGATTTGATAGGTTAGGACTCGTAATACAAATGACACTTCAATTTTATCTTGCGATAGTTATCGGTATAACCCTTATGTCTCGTTTCACTCTTGATAGAATAGTCGTTAACGTTATATGGAGGGGGCTGATCTGATGCGTTACGATGCCCTGCTATCTCCCTCTACCCTAGACCACTCTACTGCACTCATTTAAGGGTCCTTCCACCATAGTCCTGGCTTGGTCGGTCCACCGCATTGGAGACTACTAACCAGTTAACACTAAGCGGTTCGTGAGGTCGTTGGCTCATCTAGAAAAAAAACAAGAAAAAAAAACACCAAAGTGCAGTCAATGAACTATACAAAACTTCGATACAAATATTGTCTAAATAGTACGAAATATGCGCAAAACTATCGAAGAATGTAGAAGGGAAGAAAATATTGACTTGCCATTTAAATTCGAATATCTGTACGTAGGTAATTATTTCCAGTGTAACAGCAACAGCAATAACGTGTTATCTTTATAATAAAATTTATAACGGTCAAGGGGTCATCACTATTAACACAATAATTGTGTAACAAGAAATTACCCTAAACATAATTTACGGTATCTAAACTTAATTTAGACGAATTGACTGTTTATTTAAAAATAAAACAACACTTTATTGCATTAAAATTCTAAGAATTGCGTTAAAAAAAATTGCTTACTTTTTGTTCTATTCAAATCAAGTTTCAAAATTCTATTGAAGTCAGTCATTGTTGCATTGTAGCAAAAAGTTTCGCATTCCAAACTATAAGCGATACATTGAACCTCATTTTCAGTTTATAAATAACAGTAAACACTGGCAGTCAATAAAGAAATAGTTTGGTTTATAAGCACGTGTCGGTTTTCGATTTCAGTACCGTTCTAAATTTGAAACAATGTTTATGTTTTCCACGTGCCTCCGAACGTACCCAACTTAAATAATTATGACAAAAATATACATAATAATCGCGAGTTTAAAAATAGCTTTCCCAAAATCAAGACAAAAAAAGCACTGGAGGATTGGGTATATGATTTTTTTAGTATATACTTATTCTTTTAATTGGTACGCTGAAATGAGTTTTATTATGTGTGAATTTGCTTCAGTGACTGAGGTGTTTGACAAATTGATGGTTTTGTTATTTCCTGTAACAGATTTAAATTCAGAAAAAAATGAATACAGTATTTTTATATTTCAACTTTAAAGCATGCATGTTCAGAATATATGATATATAATTTTTATTCTCAAAGCAAATATATTATATTTAATAAATGAATACACAAAACATGAAAGAAAACTCGTTGTTAGCAAAATAATAAAAAATATAACAAAAATTTCTAACAAAAAATACCTAGATTATGTAAATTCTTGGATGCGGTATTTTACTCGGCTTCAATTTTTAATTCTCGCTCTTTTATATTCAGTCGAAGTTAAACCTTTGGTTATTTATCGCTGTTTGTCTTTGATCAGAGCCGGTCGGTCTCAGTTATCTGGGATCCGAAGCTCTTTTTATTTTCATTCATAAATCTTTAAAACGTTTTAAATGAAAGTTGATGTAGCAACACGGCCGCCATTAAAAGATCGGCCAATGGAATTGTATCCAGTTTATTAACAAGAAAAGGGGAACAAAATGGGATTGTTATATTGTAATATTAATAACCACTAATTTTTAATATTAGCAGTCATATAAATTAGAATGGAAACATTCATTTACGTTTATGTAAATTAAGATCTGAATAATCTGTACAATATTCTTGTACACAAAGATTTTAAAAGGCAATCATTAATATATAAAAAAAAGAAATATTTCGAGTATACATCAAGTTCCTACTTGGAGGACAGATTGGTTACATGTACCGGACACGGTGGGATCGTGCACCAGTTCCCGGTCTTGCGTGGTGTTACACAGGGGTCGGTGCTCGGCCCTCTTTTATGGAATATCGGGTATAGCTAGGTGCTGAGGGGTGCCCTCCTCCCGGGCCTGAGTGTAATCTGTTACGTAGACGACACGTTGGCCGTGGCCCGGAGATGGGGTTTTCCTTGGTCTGCTCGTCTTGCCACCGCTGGGGTGGCGCATGTCGTCGGCAAAATCAGGAGATTGGGCCTTGACTTGGCACTCAGTAAATCTGAGGCCTGTGGAACGGAATGTGGCCTCGGATTTACAGGCCTCGGAGAGTGCCACCTGTCGATACCCATATCGTGGTTGGAGGCGTCTGTATTGGGGTCGGGGTGCAGTTGAAGTACCTCGGCCTCATTCTGGACAGTCGTTGGACCTACCGTGCTCATTTTCAAATCCTGGTCCCTCGTTTGTTGTGGGTGGCCGGCGCGTTAAACCGGCTTCTACCCAACGTCGGGGGGCCTGACCAGGTGACGCGCCGTCTTTATACAGGGGTGGTGCGATCAATGGCCCTATATGAGGCGCCCGTGTGGGTCACTCCCTGGTCGTGGGGGTGGCGAAGCTGCTGCAGCGGTCGCAATACACCATTGCGGTCAGGGTCATCCGTGGTTATCGTACCATCTCCTTCGAAGTGGCGTGTATACTGGCTGGGGCGCCGCCTTGAGTCCTGGAGGCGGAGGCGCTCGCCGCTGAATATCAGTGGCGGGCTGACCTTCGTGCGCGGGGGTGGCGCGTCCCAGCCCTAGTGTGTTTAGAGTGCAGAAGGTCCTATCTCGGCGGTCCGTGCTGGAGTCATGGTCCAGGCGGCTGGCCGGTCCTTCCTGACCAAAAAAAAGATTTGATCTTTTTTTTTTGGTCAATTTTTGATTTGTCAATTTTAATTTAAGTCTTGAATAAATAAAAATCACTGTGCTTACATCTCATAGCAATGACTAAATGCAGTACAATATTTTGTAGGTACCCCACGATGTCTTTGCCGATAAGCATCCCGTTGCTGTTGGCGGCGACCGCGGTTTTGGCCGGTAAGTTCGTTTTGAAGTATATTTTGTATAATGTTTGCGGTGGTAAACTTAGCAAAAGTCAAAGGTCTGTCGTGCGAGAAGTCAACGGCTTGAGACGTTGTTTTTTTGTCTTGTTCTGTTTTAAAACGTCATATCCGTCACGGCACATCACTTCACGTCACGTACATTAGCAATGGTAGTCGAGCCGATGTCTCCCTAGTTACCAAATAACTTATAAAACGTGTTTTCATGTTAATTAGAGGCCAAAATGAACTTTGGAAGCGTACTGTGAAACAGAGCAACGGTTCAAGGCAATAGTTTGAACCGTCGATAGATCGACTCTCTATTAATGCGTATAAAGCGCGGAACGTTGGAATATCGACTATCTGCTCCGGCTCCGCTCGAGTCTTTAACAAAAATTTCAACGACATTTAAGGTTGTTTTATTTTTTTAAATAAAAGAACACTTATTGCGGCATAACTATAATTCTTAGAAATATGCTGACGGGACACTTTTTGTGAATAATAATGTGTTCTACAAAGTCGTAGTGCATTATTTTATACTATCATCAATAGTTTTCACAGGGCACGCAACGTAAAGAATATTTTAAGTATTTTTTTTACACCTTGGGTTACATTATTGGAGTTTTAGCAAGGATCCCGAATTTTTTTTCAAAAAAGATATAGCTTATGTCACTCGGGAATAGTGTAGCTTTCAAACAGTGAAAGAATTTTTCAAATCGGTTCAGTAGTTTCGGAGCATATTCAATACAAACAAACAAATCTTTCCTCTTTATAATATTAGTATAGAAGTATAGATGTATATGGAATAAAACGGAGTCACGATCCTCAGTAACGAGGGGCCGATTGTAGAAAGAGAGAAAGAGATAACATATGTTATCTCTTTCTCTTTTTGTTGTGTAGTTTGATAACAGAACGATTCGAAACGAGCGAAAATCCATCTATATTTGAGGAAAAAAATTAAGAGTCTGTGCACGCTTATTTATTAAGATAGTTACTTTTTCAAAAATACTTTAGTAGTTTCTGCAATATACGTCTATATGAAAATAAGCTGAGCACTAAAAGGGTTAAGATTCTGCAACGGATTGCTGAAAGCAGTTAAGTACACAAGTATAGTAGAAAACAAAATGAAAAATAAACTGTCTCCATCATTTGGTGTTTTTCTGTCTTCTGTCTGAACTAGAAATTTAGCAGATTAATGTTTACTAGAGGTCCCGCAGTGACCGTAATAAAAAACTTTTTTATTTTATTTATTTTTTATTGCCCTTGTAGGCAGACGAGCATACGGCCCACCTGATGGTGAGTGGTTGCCGTCGCCCATGGACTTCGGCAATGCCAGGGGCAGAGCCAAGCCGCTGCCTACCGCTTAATACTCTCCACAAGCCTCGTTTGAAGAAGGACATATCATAGCGCTCGGGAAAAACCGTGGAGGGGAGCTCTTTCCATAGCCGGATGGTACGTGGCAAAAATACCTCTGGAAACGCACTGTGGATGACCGCAGTGGCTCCAAGTAGTATGGATGAACTCTACTTCGGTGGCGGGCGGCGCGATGGTAAAAACGAGATGCCAGTATCATCTCGAACAATTCCTCAGAGCACTCCCAATTTAAATTAGATCAAAATATATTTTTATTTTGAGTGTACATTGATAAGCGCTTTTAGCACTTACGGAATGCAGTCTTACTGAATTGTCAAGAAGGTTGATAAGAGCTTGTTAAGTATTTTACAAATAAATTTTAATGGCAAGAGAGTAAGTAAGCGTTTCGGTTCGAAGGGTGGGGTAGCCGTTGTCGCTGTACTGGGGCCTTAGAACTTATATCTCAAGGTGGGTGGCGCATTTACGTTGTGGATGTCGGGCTCCAGTAACCACTTAACACCGGGTGGGCTGTAAGCTCGTCCATCCATCTAAGCAATATAAAAAAAAAAAAAAAGTCGACTATAATTAATTGGAATTGTAAGTTTGTACACACATACTATAATCAAAAATTTCGCCAAAGCTACACTATAAAAAAATAATTATGACAAACAATATTTAATCTATTCTCAACTTGACCACAGACGTCAAGAACAAAAGTTTGACAATAAATAGTACGGTATGCATGTGCGTGTGCGTCAAATATATGGTATGTGGTGTGTGTAATGTTTTTTTTAGTGATTTAATGTATCTTTTATGCATTATTTTAAAAAAATATTAGCATTGTTCACTTCTCTATATTCTCTATAAGTGTGGAAAATTTCATGCTCCTCCGTCCGCGCGATCTTCGTAAAAAGGGATACAAAGTTTTTGCTTCACGTATTAATATATAGATTTAGAACACTTATACAAAAAATCCCTATCGAATATATTTGAAAACTTCTAGACCTATATTATTTTTTTCGAGTTTCACGAGTCGTTAACATACCTGAAAAGTGCGTTTGCGGTTTATACTCGCGTTTTTTATTGTCGCTCATATCATTTCCGGCGCTTGGAATACTTTACCAATTTTCGTGGTCACGGACGACTAACGTGCTTGCTATTCGACGAAATTTAAATATTGTTGTCAGACACGTGAAACTAAATATAATAAATAATTCAGATTTTTGCAAAGCTGTATCTTCTTTAGAATTTTTTTTTATTGCTTAGGTGTGTGGGCGAGCTCACAGCCCATCTGGTGTTAAGTGGTTACTGGAGCCCATAGACATCCACAACGTAAATGCGCCACCCACCTTGAGATATAAGTTCTAAGGTCTCAGTATAGTTACAACGGCTGCCCCACCCTTCAAACCGAAACGCATTACTGCTTCACGGCAGAGATAGGCAGGGCGGTGGTACCCACCCGGGCGGACTCACAAGAGGTCCTACCACCAGTAATTACGCAAACTATAATTTTGCGGGTTTATTTCGTAGAAAGATACAACAAGCACACAGCTGATGTTAAGTTTGTATCAGTCTATAGCAGGGGTGGCCAACTTGATTAAAACCAAGATCTACTGTTTACTGACGAAACAGTCTACGATCTACCAATGCCCTTTCTTGAAATTTAATGAAACAATGTAGTTCAGTATACAAATGAGTAGTATATTTTCTTTTATTAAAAAAATTAACATAAAGCTGAAATTATATAATAAAAGAGAACTATTATGTGTGACGTAATGTTCATTAACAAATGGTACAAGCTGAAGATTATGCGTGCAGCAATTGGAGATTACGTTGCGCAGTCTGTTCTATGTATTTATGCCTTTTTGGTCTTGGCACGATCGACTGAACTAATATCCACGATCGACCGGTCGATCGCGATCTACCGATTGGCCACCCCTGGTCTATAGAAATCTAAACGGGAATACAATATAAGATAAGCCTTGAGACATGAGGTCAGTGTCTCAGTTGTATTGTGTAGCAACAGTCCCACCATTCAAATATTTTTTTATGCCCAAAGCCTTTTTTTTATTACCTTTGTAGGCGGACGAGCATACAGCCCACCTGATGGTGAGTGGTTACCGTCGCCCATAGACTTCAGCAATGCCAGGGGCAGAACCAAGCCGCTGCCTGTCGTTAAATGCATGTTTATTAAAATATTCAACGAAACTATTCAGCATGATAAAAAAAAACAAAATTACTTTGTTTTTACAATGGTGCTTTATCCATTGCTTATCATATAAGGTGTGACAGAATACGATATGTAAATCGGCCGTCAATGAATTAGGTGTAAAATAGATGGTCGTCGGGCGGGATAGAATGTTTTTTTCTTTATTTTGGAATTGTAACAGGCGTGACTGGCAAGCTCCCGGATACCGCAGGTAGCGACGCACACATTGACACAGTAACTTTGTGTTTACAACACAAACAGAGTTTTAAACTGTTCGAATATTGCGGGTTCTGTTGAGAAATTAATCTATAATTTGTAACAAAAAAAGTTTTTTTTTTAAATATCTCATCAAAAAAAATCAGTTTTATCTTAGTCTTAAAGTTACGTTGTACTATTAAACAATCGATACCGATAATTTTAAGTCTCCGGATGTTAGAAAATTCCTCTTATACATGAGTCGTCTATTATCAAAGGTGGCAATCTGTGCATTTGGATAAAAAAAAATTTTTGATATGTCAATACAGATTTATTTGAATATAATCGTCTCCTTCAAAGAATACGGTTCAAAACCTGCATTAAATAAAGGTTANGTTACGTTGTACTATTAAACAATCGATACCGATAATTTTAAGTCTCCGGATGTTAGAAAATTCCTCTTATACATGAGTCGTCTATTATCAAAGGTGGCAATCTGTGCATTTGGATAAAAAAAAATTTTTGATATGTCAATACAGATTTATTTGAATATAATCGTCTCCTTCAAAGAATACGGTTCAAAACCTGCATTAAATAAAGGTTAATAGTTAACCTGTTATTTACCTAAGATGTCGTTCCGAAGAGTTTTGTGACTGCCAATGGAATACAAAGTCAATAATTCGTTTTTCTGATTTACCAATCATTGTCCAAAAGTCAGATTGCCGGCTTTGATAATAGTCGACTCACATTACGTCTCATTATAAAACATCTGTGAAAAACGATTATCATTATATCAACAAATGTGATAATTGAGAACTTTGATTGGTTGACTTGTTTAATACTTACCTTTAAAAAAAGCATCTAAGCACTCGGTAGTTTTTCACAGGTTACTTACTTAACAAGGAGACTCGTTAATAAGAAGCTCTAATCACTTTTGCTCACAAAAGAAACTGGGATGATGTACGGGACCCTAAGCGATACAATGCATCAAGTTTTCTTGTGAGTGCGTGTGTGTGTATGTGTGTCTGTGTGCTGTAAGTACATAACAAATTTTACGCTTACTCGTCATTATGGGGTCCAAGTATTTGTATGAACTCATTAGTAACTACCTACAGGAGGATTTGTAGTTTTTTTCCCTCCTATCCTCACCGCCCTCAGTCCTTTTTTGATTACAATAGGATTTAAGGAATTGTTTGGGCAAATAAGCGCGTAGGTACTTAGTTTTTTTTGTAGTTAGAAAATTTAAAGTGCTTCTGAGATTTATCTCAAAGAAGACGGAATATAACTATTATATTTAGGTTGAAGTGTGAGATGAGGATGCTACGTAAAATCAATTTTGTTTACAAGTTATTAACAAGGGTACCAAAAATGGATGTAGGTATTTGAGTTTTAATGTACAATAAAAATTGTTCGGAATAATGGCCTCAAATCAGATCAAAATAATATGTGCGTAAAAGACGTTGTTATAATCATACCAGATACTACAGATACTAAGACTAAAAGATGCTACGATGCATCTTCAAATTAATGGTTGGGACCACACCACGCCCCGTTGCTATAGCTAGATCTCTCAGATTTACAATGTCTGGTCTTCAAATTGTCGTGAATGGTATTAGAACAAAAAAGCTTCCTACTGTGTCGGCAACAATATTGTTACACGCTGGGTTTCGGGATAAATAAAACTTCCACGGAGCTACAAATTAAAACTCTGTTTAACACTTAGAACACTTACAGAACACTTTACAATTCGTAATTCACTTCTTCCGCTTGGCTTCAAGTGATCCGTTCGCTGTTTCGCTTCGAGTAGATCCGATTACTAACTGCCTCCGTGTTATCTCTGCAACGCTTTTATAGCCAATACGACATGCCTAGAATTATCAAGAACATTCTCGGGAAGGCCAGGCTTCTCGATATGTGCTCCCGCTATTTGATAATAGATGGCGTTGCACTGCTCGAGCGTTCTCGATTTTACTAGTTCTTTTGATATTTTTTTCTGCTATTCGACGACAGATGGCGTAACTCTTCCCAGCGTAACACTATCTTAAAGATTTAACGATCGCGAACGTACATAGGTAGATCACGAACGAATATACAAACACGCAAACATTCAGATTTAATTGTCTCCAATAATTCCTATGTCTAGTCTGGAAATGGGTTACAAAAAATGAGAATACTACTACTACTTACTACTACTACACAATATGGGGAACTAGTAAAAGGGTTCACGCTTCTTTATTATTTGACTGGTGGTTTGGCGTCTTATGTGCCAACAAGGGTAAAAAACCACCTTGCCTTTTCCTGCTATGAACCAGTAATGCGATGCGGTTTGAATTCCGAATGTCTTAATTTTCTCTGCCTACCTACTGTTAGTCATCTTAGTGTAGGGAAAGCTTACCTGAGCTCACAGCCTGAGGAATTTTACAAACTTTTCTCTTCTTACAACGTTTGACACTAGATATCAAAAGCACAGGAAAGATATTTCATAATAACACGCCGTTTTGTGTACATTCAGCTTGGAAGATTAGAACATCATGTTTTTTTTCTATTGTCGACTGTCTCTCATTGAAATCACACGTAGCTCCTACAGACAGAGACCATGGCGGTCACCACACGAAAACACCGAATATAGTTTGATGTAGCGGGCGCTAATTTTTTTTACGTAATTTTGTAATTAAACTGTTCAACTGAGTTTGAAATAAATATAATGAAATGTAAAATAAAAATTAAATGCCTGTAAAATTTTTGTATAAAGAAAAAACCAGATAGCAGATTTACTTTAAATCAGAAACTATGTTTATGAACAAGTCATCGTCGTCGGAGCTCAAATCACATAAATAGTGTCCAGAAAAACGAACAAAACGTCCTGGTACATCTCAATTAAAGGACTATAAATAATTTCAACTTTACCTGCTTCAGAATAAGGTTGTTATTCTAACAGGCTTAGCTCACACACAGCATTGTTGCATGCGTCACACAAGATCGAAGTGTGGGTAACAAGGTATCAAGGACATCAGGATTTCTTTTTTTTTCTCGTTTCGGTCTGGCTCTCGGTATGCAAATAAAAAGTGATTCTGATTACAACTCCTTTCGGTCGGAATCGCATTGCGTCACTTTTTCGTTTAAGCGTTCTACGATAAGGCGAACATCGTTATGCTTAAAATATATATGGCAGCATTTTTTGTTCGTGCAACAAGAATAAAAAAAAACGTGGACAGGTTTCTTAATCGTAATACATTGAAATTCCTGTAATATCCTTGCTAATATGCTTCATGCGAGGGTGAGTCAGTTCAGTGTTGACGCTGTCTAAGCCCGATGGTTTGTTAATAGAGAACATTAGTGAAGATATGAAATATAAGACAATAGAAATGTGGTATCGACGACATCAAATGGATCTCTGATCTACCGACTCTACGTAATATCTTGACTCGCGAAAGCCCAAGAAAACTCTGTAGTACCGTCAGGTTTTTTTTCCGAAGAGGGAATTCTCGCAGCATTTCATATTCACACTCACGCATTGAATGTAGCCAGCTGGATACGTTAGAGTTGAATAAAGCAAAGCCCCAAAACCAGTATAGTGTAGAGTTTTTTCTATCACTTCACCCCAACGGATGACGATCCTCTGGGTATAATGCTGCTAAGTGTTGACCGCCAAATCTCCTTTACCTCGGGTTCTATGAGGGTCAGGAATTAGTCGAGAATGCAGAGGGGTCGTTTATTGCGTAGGCCTCTAAAATCTTCGGCCACCGAGTCCCACATATTAGGCGCGAGAGCCTCGAAAGAGGTCTGGACGGCGCGGTCCAAAAATAAAGGTATAATACGGCTAGCTATTATAATTAATATTTGAATTCTCTCTGCATGTTTTACAGAAATCGACATGAACTTCATAAAGTATCCAGAATCCGTAACGGCTCCTGTCGGTGACTCGGTAACCTTCGAGTGTGAAGTGGACGTACCGGCTGAGAAGTTGATTTGGCGAACGCGACCCGTTGACGGCCCTGAAGGTATCTGGGAAAAAGTGGTGACAGGAAAGGAAAAATCCACTGAAGTCTCAAGTCGTCTGGCGGTCGAAGTGAAAGACGATACACAAACTGCTTTTTATCAGGTACCAAATTTTGGTTCTGTTAATTTTTAAGTACCTATTACGTATTTTATTATCGCTTTTATTATCTGAATATTTATATAGCAACTTTTTACTTTATCCAAAGTCAAAGTTGAACGAATTCACATAAATTGTTAACCGAATATTTACACCGGGAATTTTTTGAATGTTCGAAATTTTACGGCCTCCAAATGTAAAAGCTATCTAGATGAAATTTTAATATCCAAAATATTTTCTGGACTTTACGGTAAATCGTTTGATAGCCTAAAATTTTTTTTGGGTTGTTAAAATTTAGTGTTCCCTTTTTCAGTACTAATGAGTTTGGTAATGTTTTCGGTTTTATGATGTAGAATACTTTTTATTTCAGTGCGTAGTATTGTACGGTTCAGTGATATTGGTATCGGTACCAGCAAAGCTGAGTGTAGCGAGCCTGGATTTAAGCAGGAACAGTCTTGAGAAACGCGTCATCACTGCACCATTGCATAATACTGTGGTTCTTCACTGCAAACAACCGCTGTCCGATCCACCCGCTGACCTGACCTGGTGGAAAGAGAGTACAAAAGTGCGTATTAATGTATTTAAATTTGATCTATTCTGGGTTCACAGTGACGTAATCAAGTATGATCATTAGGTACTTACCTAGGTCTATTTATGTCGCATTACTTCATGTGTTTACTACTCGTCGTGGCCTCGTATAAGACATCCTAAGGATAAGACGTCCGGTGCATTCGTATGTGCGACGGTGTTCGAGTTCTGCAGGCGGGTACCTATTTTTATAATGAAATACAATACTTAACAAATGTTCACGATTGACTTCTACGGTGAAGCAATAACATCGTGTAATAAAAATCAAACCCGTAAAATTATAATTTGCGCAATTACTGGTGGTAGGACGTCATGTCAGTCCGTACGGGTAGGTACCACCACCCCACCTATTTCTGCCGTGAAGCAGTAATGAGTTTCGGTTTGAAAGGTGGGGCAGCCGTTGTAACTATACTCAGACCTTAGAACTTATATCTCAAGGTGTGTGGCGCATTTACGTTGTAGATGTCTATGGGCTCCAGTAATCACTTAACACCAGGTAGGCTGTGAGCTCGTTCACCCATATAAGCAACAAAAAAAAAATGCGTGTGATGGAAGTCACTACTGTCCCGAAGTAGATTTTATATCTTTAATAAGAAAATAAATTATTATTCAATTAGGTGATCGAGTTAGTTAAATGTGAAACGAATGCTTTAAAAGCACAGGTATATCGCAACGGTATATTGGTTTTGTCGAAAACCAATTAATATTTTAAAGTTAAGTGTGTTGTTTTATTTTTAGGGTTCTAAGAAACCGATAGAAACTCCTCATGGTGTACTGGTGATCCACAATACGTCGTTATCTGACAGCGGTACATACGGCTGCAAGGCCACGAACAAACTCAGCTTGAAAGCTGCGGATCTACCCGAGAAGACTGTGCTGAAGATACAACGTGACGATACCGGAGAAGTCAGGTCAGTTAAGACGCATTTTAACACGCTTTTGTTTAAACTAGAGGTCCCGCAGTAGTCGAAATTCGACTATAATTAATTGGAATTGTAAGTTTGTACACTATTATGATTGTATTTTATACTTCTATAATCACAAATTTCGCCAAGACTACACTATAAAAAATATTAACAAAGACAAACAATATTTAATCTATTCTTAATTTGACAACAGACGTCAAGTACAAAAGTTTGACAATAAATAGTATGCATGCGTGTGCGTCAAATACATGGTATGTAGTGTGTGTAATGTTTTCTTTATTGATTTAATGTATCTTTTATGCATTATTTAAAAAAAATATTAGCATTGTGCACTTCTTCTCTATATTCTCTATAAGTGTAGAAAATTTCATACTCCTCCGTCCGCGCAATTTTCGTAAAAAGGGATACAAAGTTTTTGCTTCACGTATTAATATATAGATTAAAACTAATTTTGGCGTTATATTAATATTTTTTATTATCGTTATATTATTTTAAATGTTTCGAATACATACCGGTCGTCGTTCTCGTAAAACTCGTCGATTGCGGCGAGTGAACTAACCCATAGACACAGCCCACTGAGTTTCTCACCAGATCTTCTCAATTGGCCGCGATTCCGATCGGGTGGTAGATTCTGCGAAGCACTGCTCTTGCTAGGGCCAGTTTTAGCGAATTCTCTCAGGTAGAGTACGTGAGCTTACCTACCCGTCTGGGGGTAGATGGAATAGCCCTCTAAGCTACCAGTGAATTGGTAAGGGAAAAATCGGATACTTCAAGGTTTTCGTGGTCATAGACAGTTGGTCGTATCGTGACATTAGGAAAAGATAAACCCGTAGCGTGGTTTCAGTTACGTCTAAGTATTGGGGAAATCGAAGGAAACTCTATAGTACCGTAAGGATCTGTTTCCGGACAAGAGGGGGCAAATCTGCCGCATCTCATACTCATATTCGCACATTTAATGCGGCTAGATGGGTATGCTGGAGTTGAATAAACCAAAGTCATTCATTTATGTAACTGGATCATTCAACGAGAAACAAGAACCAATGGAAATCTGACTTAAAGGGTTACTTCAATATTGTATCGCTGAGTTCGCCGACATTGAGAAAATCGGGGCTGATGTCTAAACTGTATTGAATTAACCGCTATTGTGTGAATTCAAAAGGATCGTTAATAGATAGCAATACGTAGGAATATAGTATCCGTGTATATTTTCAAAAATCCCTTTTACCGAATACGCTGAAATTTTTTATTTAAAAAAAAAGTGTGAAACCTGTACCCTGGTATTGGAATTGTTCACGAAGCCGAAACGCCGATAAACTATTCGGCTATGGTAAACAGAAAACATTGTTCATTTACTAAACTGAGCTTGAATTGCCTTTTAGAATGCTCGCTGTCCAAGAACGTCAGTTGATGTTCAATTGTGTTCCATTGCGCGTAATGTTAACAAGCAATAAACACATTATGATGATCAATGTTTACGTTTCGGGAAAGGTCCCACTACACCCACCATTGCATCAAACATGAAGTAGAACAATTTCTAATTTCATTCAGTGTGCTTAGTGCGAGTTTTTTTAACGTTTTCGATAGCGTAAAAGTTAGCCCAATTTTATATGCAGTTGGAACAGCGCCCCTAACGGCAAACGTAGGCAAACGATCCCATTCCATACAAATATGAGCTAACTTTTACGCAATCGAGAACGTTAAAAAACTCGCACACTGATGACGAAATGTTTTTTTTTTTTTTTATTGCTTAGATGGGTGGACGAGCTCACAGCCCACCTGGTGTTAAGTGGTTACTGGAGCCCATAGACGTCCATAACGTAAATGCGCCACCCACCTTGAGATATAAGTTCTAAGGTCTCAGTATAGTTACAACGGCTGCCCCACCCTTCAAACCGAAACGCATTACTGCTTCACGGCAGAAATAGGCAGGGCGGTGGTACCCACCCGCGCGGACTCACAAGAGGTCCTACCACCAGTAAAATATAAAGGCATTTATTTATATTACAGGTTCGTGGAGTCCGAAGATTATGTAGGGGTCAAAGATAATGACGTGCTAACGATGCCAGTAAAGCCGAGAGGAACTTTAAGGTTGTATTGCGGAGCGGTCGGAGTTCCTCCTCCGAAGATCACTTGGACCAGGGAAGGAAGAACGCCATTGCCAAAAAGACACGATCATGCGATACTTACTATTGCGAACTTTACCGCTGCCGATGAAGTAAGTTCAAAGAAAACATATTTATTTTTCAAGTGAAAGATCTTTGGACTCTATTAGTGTGCAATTTTTAGGTCAATGTTTCAGTGTTGTCACAAACGACGGATGGAAGTTCCTCACTGTTAAGAGCATATAGTTCATTAATAGATTCGAGCACGCATTGTACTTATATTTAAGTCTATTCCCAATAAGGTTGAGGACGAATAATGTACACACATACACACAATGTCGTTCATGCTATTAACATGTCTTCATCGTTAGCGGTCATATTTGTAGTATACAATTTCTTATGCTTTTATATCAATTGCGTGTACTCATAGCGCAAGAATCTGTACTGTTAATATAAATCAGAAGGTTTGTATGTTTATTAGTGAAGTCGTCGTGGCCTAAAGGATAAGTCGTCCGGTGCATTCGTTGTTGCGATGCACCGGTGTTCGAATCCCGCAGGTGGGTACCAATTTTTGTAATGAAATACGTACTTAACAAATGTTCACGATTGACTTCCACGGTGAAGGAATAACATCGTGTAATAAAAGTAAAAAATCCGCAAAATTATAATTTGCGTAATCACTGGTGGCAGGACCTCTTGCGAGTCCGCACGGGTAGGTACCACCGCCCTGCCTATTTCTGCCGTGAAGCAGTAATGCGTTTCGGTTTGAAGGGTGGGGTAGCCGCTGTAACTATACTGAGACCTTAGAACTTATACCTCAAGATGGGTGGCGCATTTACGTTGTAGATGTCTATGGGCTCCAGTAACCGCTTAACACCAGGTGGGCTGTGAGCTCGTCCACCCATCTAAGCAATAAAAAAATAAAAAATACTTAGTCACGAAAAAGTGGTGGTATGGTGAGTTTTGGTAATAAAATCGTGTATGTCTTGTGCATTTTCGTTTATCAATTCAAGTGGTTGATGTTGTGCATAAACACTTTCGCAGGGTATTTATTCGTGTTCAGCAAACGGCATACGTAGGTCTTGGAAGGTGGTGGTGTTGCAGCCGCCCCGGTGGGAGGGCGTCGCCGCCAACGCCAATGACACGGAGGGCAAGGGGGTCAGTATTAGCTGCGGCAACGCCGTCGGGTACCCCCAGCCCGAGGTCTACTGGGTGTTGAACGGAGAACGCGTCAGCACCGGTACCGGAGTCACCGCTACAGGTAAACGATTCGTTACCAATATTAATATTCGTATTCGTATCTCGTTTCACTCTTGGCAGAGCGGTCGTGGTCGTCATCCAGCATCATTGTTGTGGGCAGATGCTATGCGTCTCACGAGCAATCGCTACTGCTTCCGGTTTGTGGTGAGCCTGGTACACTCATGCAAACAGCCGTCAAATGCCGACTTGATCTGGTGGGTCCATCGCATGGGCACTCTGTCACGCGGTCTGGTGCCTTCTAAAATTAGTATATTAACAACAAAAAAAATCGTTTTACCATAGGACATTTTGTGAGTCCGCACGGGTAGGTACCACCGCCCCGCCTATTTCTGCCGTGAAGCAGTATTGCGTTTCGGTTTGAAGGGTGGGGCAGCCGTTGTAACTATACTGAGACCTCAGAACTTACATCTCAAAGTGGGTGGCGTATTTACGTTGTAGATGTCTGTGGGCTCCAGTAACCACTTAACAAGCAGGTGGGCTGTGAGTTCGTCCACCCATCTAGGCAATAAAAAAAAGAGTCTAATATAGATAATACACCATTAATATTTATTCAAAGAGTATTTTTTTTTATTTAAGCTTAGCTTTAGTAAGATACGTTATTATAGAACTAAGTCTCCTCCTTGCATAGGTTTCCTCATTACTGAGGGTCGTGGTCATGGCCTTGAAACAGTTTGTTTTTTATAGTGCACCGCCATCTGTTCCTATCTGCAGCTGAGTGCAGAGCATCGTGCACTGTGGTATCCAGGGCTGCACGAATCTGGTCCGTCCAAGGGGTCGGGTTCCTGCCATAACAATTAAATACGGGAACATTTCGGCGGAAAAGTCGTAGAGGAGGAGAGTCAAGAAGTCGCGGGATGTCGACCACTAGGGTGTTTAAGCTAGGGTATATGACTTAAAGTAATTGTTTTTGCAGATTCAGACCTGAATATCGAGCACCTAGAGAAGAAGCACGCCGGGATAGTTCAGTGCTTCGCGTGCAACAAGCTCGGCTGTTCGTTCCTGGCGGCCATGCTCACTGTCGTTCCGCTGCAGATATCGGACCAGGTACTAAACTAGTGGGGAGTAAATGAACGATAATCTGGGTAGGTCTCTCACAAGGTTGGTTTACTGGTGGTAGGAGCTCTTGTGAGTCCGCGCGGGTGGGTACCACCACCCTGCCTATTTCTGCCGTGAAGCAGTGATGCATTTCGGTTTGAAGGGTGGGGCCGTTGTAGCTATAATTGAGACCTTAGAACCTATATCTCAAGGTGGGTGGCGTATTTACGTTGTGGATGTCTATGGGCTCCAGTAACTACTTAACACCAGGTGGGCTGTGAGCTCGCCCACCCATCTAACCAACAAAAGAAAAAAATTGATCAACGACATATTGAGGCTCGCGGGGATCCGCTGAATATAGACAGCGTAGGATTGGTCGTTATGCCAAGGCTTGGGGGAAGCCTATGTCCAACACTGGAAACTATGGGACTAAAAGATAAGAATGAACGATTTGGACAGAGAAATGAACGAGCTCAATAATTCAACTGTTTTCTTCTATGTACTATGTACTTCTGGATTTGTATTAATTTAGCATAATTTTGTGCAGGATTATTCAATGGAAACGCCGAAAACTTTGCAATCATCATC